AAAGAACGTTGAACATCCATGGAACCAAGGTTTTTTTTTGTCTGTTTTTATTTTTTATATTGTAAAAAGGTTTTTTAAATTATTAAAATGTTCTTTAAACTAAGAACTAAGAAAAAATGGTTATTTTAACTATTGATCACTGAAAGATTATTTGGGGAACCCAAAATATTTCTTCTATGGCATCACTGCACTTTTTTATTAATAAAAAGTGTAGGCTGATATTATACGTTATTATACAACAGTTTCACTAAGCGCGTTATTTCACTTTACTGTAAAAATGAACTAACGTTCTATGTAATGACTTGTTTAACCATTTGACTTCTTTATCCATATTCACATAGATCTAAGAGGATTCTTGTGTTAAGTTGGCTGGCTTCTAGTGTTAAGTTGTCTGCTGATCCGCTCTTTGTTGCAGTGTTTTGCTCACTCATGCGCTCATTGAAAAAAGCCTTAGCCTGTTCTTCTCCAGCTCTCTTTAATGACCTCGTCAAGTCAACGGCTGCAGCATTGAACATGTTTACTTGACCTGCAAATTGGGGTCAACGCAAAGTAAAGACTCCTACACTTGTGCAAAGAACGCAGACAAACAGTGGCCATTGAGACACAGATAATGTGTACACCTACAAAATCCTATACGCTTTTTGGGGAAGCAAATGCAAATTGCACTATGACAAAAAAAACAATCATAAATACAATAGATAATAGGTATAACAGTGTATAACGTTTTTGGGTGGCACTTAAACCAACACAAGCTGCCAGGGACTAGCACAAGGTGGCAGGGAGTAGAAGACAGGTGTAAATAAACGCCGGGGCTCTGTCCTTGCTCTGTGAGTTGCCATGGCAACGGCTAATAGAGCATCCTATCGATCGCACTGTCCAGTCTGAATTGTGCAGCCCCTGAGCCCATGTTTTTTTCTCTGTGTGGTGATGGGTGTGGCTCAATACCTGATATTGTATGCCTCTTTTGCCTTGCGTCTCTCATGGCTTCCATAATAGTGGTAATGATAATGAGAGGGTAGCAAAAAGAAAAGGAAGAAGCCTGAAACAATAGTAAAAATACAGCTGGATCTATTTCGTCACAAATGCAAAGAAAAAAATCACTTCCTTCTTGGACAGAGAGGCACGCTTTTAAAAACGATAGATAGCTATCATGACACTTTGCCTGTGTTATTTGCTTATGCGCTTTACTGCGGCCCACACAGAATTCAGTTTCCCCAGCAAAGAAAATGTCACATACGATTTTTCCGCACATCTCCCGGTCTGCATATGCGAAAAGCCACATGCCATTTACCTAATGTGAGGCTGTTTAGTCCAGCCATTGCTTTGACTGTTACACAAATCAGAACGGCCAGGAAGACCAGGCTGCTCCAGTTCAGCAAGAGCTTGTGAAGGAGAGCGAGGCACGGAGAAGGACCTGCGGGAGCTCGTTTAAATCTGGCCTGAGGGATCCCTCCAGCTAGGGGTCATGGTTAGAGTCACAGCGTACTGGATTTAAAGGTGGGGCTCCTTAAGGTGCCTCTGTTGCCCCGAGGCACAGCCATCACAATTCCTGCAGTGCTGGAAATGAAAGCCGATCTAGGACAAAGGCCCTTTCCTTGCTTATGGCCACTGCTCATAAAAATGACTCAAGTGATTGAGATGTCAGTTACATCTTTCTTTTTGCCTGTCCTCCCCAGCAACACCCTAGTGTGAGTTTAAGAAGCATTACTGGTGATTCTTGAGTGAACGTATAAAATTTGTTTTATATTATTAATAATATATAGACTAAGAGAGCATACTAATACTAGCACTAAAATTGCAAAAACAAAATGTTTTAGTCTACATTCAAACCATTAGCACTATGAGCGTTAAAGCAAAACCAGCACCATATGTTTCCTAAGAATGTTGTTCACTGATCATTTTTTTACATGCATAAACTTCCGTCATGCCAGGCTGAGAAGTCCTTGATCTCTAGAGACTCGACTGAAGTCGCTCAAGCTGTTTTTTGTGTTTCTATCAGTGCTGCATGGATTTGGCTGCTCGCCTGCAGTACTGAGCTCTGTGCAGCGGTACAAATGTAAATCTGTGCTCCGCTGGGACGGAGTGTGAGGGGGAGCGGAGTGGCTGCCCTCGCATCCCTGCGAGATGAAAACCCATCCACTCGGAGAGGCACAGCGGCTACCAGGGCAGAAGTCAGGCGCGGTGGGGCCAGGCATGTGGGAGAGAGGAGTGATGGAGGGAAAGTTTTCTCTGCCTCAAGCGCTCTGCATATGTTGTGAGAGTGAGAGCCTGCAGTGATCTTGGCAGCACACTTCAAAACTTTATGGAGCAGACGTGCACACTGCATCCTAATACGAGCTGTCTTGATTCAGGATTCTTGAGATTTGTCAGACGCCCTGCCTTGAATTATTATTATTTTTGTTAAATTCTTGGCTCGCTGATATAAGATTTCGCTCGCCTACATTTTGTTTAAAGAGCAGTTTCTCATTGGGTTAGCTTTGTTCTCAAAGCGCTCAGATTAATCATAGTCGATGTTGATCACATTTGGGTAAACTGTGTAAATTTAGGTGCCAAATATTTACATAACCACTTTTAACATTTAAAGAGATAGTTCATCCAAAAATTTAAAATCTAGTATTTACTCACCCTCAGGTCGATCCAAACCTGCATGACATTCTTTCTTCATGGACACAAAAGAAGGTATTTAAAAAAAAAAGTCTGTTATTTGTCCATACAATGTAGGACAATGGGATCTAGTGATGTTTGAAAGAAAGCCAACATGAGGTTGAATAAATGACAGAATTTTCATTTTCGTAATATTATTTTAAATAATTTATTAAATTACTATTATTAAACGATCAACATATAAATTATTATAAAAATATATATATATATTTTTTTGTAACAGAAGTTATTGATTATCTACCTAAACATCTAGACTACAGATGAAATCCTTCATAACAAAAAAAGGTGAAAAATAGATACTGACCCAAAATCAGTTTTGTTTTTTTAAATGCTGTTTGTAGTCAAATCTAAGAGATAGCTCTGGTCCTGGATCTATGGGTGGCCAGTTTCTGTATTCAATTCGAGGTCCACGTTAGCGAGCCACTCTGTCCTGTCCAGGAGCTCCATTCACTTCACAGTCAATAGTTATCTATCATCCAGCGATTGCAGTGTCGATATGAAGTCCAGCGCTGAAATTAGTCAGTGCCAAGTCTGTAACTACAGCCCAAGGTCAGACACACACTCCATTGACAGGAGTGATGGTCCGCAGCTCACAGGCACATATATCCAGCCCAAGGTCAAGTGTACGGTACTGCTATTTCAGAGGGAACACACATGTAAAACACTCTGTCATGTTGAGAGATGCCAAGCATGAATTCAGCTTGATCGTGACACATTTTATTTCATGTTTTGGATACTAATCAATATGGTAAAAATGGAAGCCACTCGAAAAGATCCTATGCTTTTTTGTTTGGTCATAGATAAATGTGCAATTTTAGTTCATATGTGGTTTCTCAGCTTTCAAAAGGCACTAACATGTACACAATCTAATATGAACTTTTAAAGTACTAACGTGTACTATTTAGGGGTAAATAAGGCACAAAGATGTACCTTAGGGGACAGTCCCAGCGACAGCATTGTACCTTTAACTGGGAGAGTGTGGTCTAAAAAATTTGGACAGTTTTGTTATTTAAAAGAAACTCTTTTAAACACTTTAGATTAGAGAATGAACAAAGGAAAAACAATACACTATCACCAACTACATGCTGTGTGTATTAAGTTGAATCAAACTGAAACTATCTTCTATTACAATGAAAACTTATTTAAGCATTTTTGTTAGACTTCTTTACAACAGAAAAAAATTAAATTGCACTAAAGTTTAGCCAAGCTGAAGAATTGCTAATCAGCAGCAAAACATTTTCTACCCTTCTGGCAAGGTCAGGGGATCACAGTCCCCTGCTAAATGTCCGAAGCCCCCCCTCTCTGAAGCCCTGAGGGGAGATATCACCCCCCACACAGATACACAGCCTGACAGCAGCTAACTTGGTTCGATTGCTTGGTCCAAACTCCACTCCACTACCCCCTCCCCCCGCAGGTCTCTTTTTACATTGTACTTTCAGGTCCAAACTGAGATATGTTTGCGTCATCAATGTGAGGTAAACATGACTACTAGCAGCTGCTGTAAACTAGGCAGAGAAGAGACTAAATGGTAAAAACTCTGATGTCAATACCAAAAGCTCTTGTGTGAATGGGCAAAGGGGCTTCTGTGGTTTCTGATCCATGACAAATTAAGTCCCTAAGACAGCGTTTTACAGCCGAGCCTGAAACTGCATATCTGGAATTGTTTTTTTCAGATGCTTTTGTCTCTAGCCAACTTCTTAGAACACTCAGGCAATGAGCCAACAAATATTTTGGAACTAGATAAAGTGAATGCTGCTGTAAACAGGGACTACTACATACTATTGTTACAATGGAATACTAGAATATGGTTGCAAAACAACCATTGCTATGTATTTTTCTCAAGTAGATGTAAGATTTTTAAAAACAAAAATATATTTACAAGTAATAATAAAACTCTCATATTTTAAACAGTTGATTGTTGACAGTTGACTGTCAGCAGGTGCAAATATACAGGAAGATTCAGGCCTCGACTTTACAGCCTACATTTGCTGCTAAGGCTTTTGTAGATTCATTTTTATATATATTTAAACAACTCACCGACATCACCAATCGCACTGGAAAATGCTATGTTGCTTAGCTGTATAGATCAGCATCAGAAAACAAAGCCAAATCTAGTTTTCTGTTCAAATATCTGTAGTCTATTATCTGCACTTCTCTAGACATAAACTCTAAAACTCATTATTCATTAAATTATATCACTCAGGTTCAAGTACATCCATAAAACTGTCTGCTTTACTACAGAAAACGGCACGTTATTTTATTGGAATCACTGTTTTAATACAAAAACTCAGGCACAGTGCATGCTGCCATCTAGTGGACTCATTACATCTGCACACTGTACTGTAGCTGTAGTGACTAAACCTTGCAATGCTACTAACATTTCCTGGCACTGAAAGCAAAATATGACTATTTCAAATTTATCTGATAGAAAACTAACATAAATAACAAAATTCATTTGTGCACACCTCATGTTATCACATTCCCTTGAACCATAAAACTTGTTAACAATGCATTTCTGCAACTAAATTAATAAAAAAATAAAAAATAAACAGCATGTTTGCCGTGTGACTGTATTAGAAATACTGTGAGTGTACAAGTCAATGTTCTTTAGGTACACTGACTTTGCGCCTCTTCGGGGCTGATGGCTGGGGATCTTGGCTTAGCGGGAACTCTAACTGAGAGATCTGCAGAAACAGAGGAAGTGTTTAGTTGTGGTAAATTACAGTTAATCAGAACAAGAACACTTGAAAAACCTGTTTTTACGTGACTCATTTGTTTACTTGACATTTTTTCCTGGCTCGGATTGCATGATAGTCATCAGAATGACACATTGTATTTTGTATTTTAAAACTGTTCACAAAATTCCACTGATTATACTGGCAAAAGACGTGATAAAAATCCAACCAACATGACAAGATCCAGATATGGACCATGGACAGTGTATTTCTTACCTGAGGGTCAAAGATGCGTCCGCTCCTGGTCTTCCTTGCATCCACCTTAAGGTCAGCAGTTTTCTTTACCAGACTGTCCATCTAAAATATGCATCACATCATTTAAAACAACTTCCTCTCATCCACAGGTCATAAAGCAGACTGGTCATTTACTTGTGTGTGTGGTGAGTTGTGTAGCGCTACCTTTGCATTTGTTAGATTAAGATCCTCCTTGCTACTTCTGTGACCCTGTTGTGAGTTTTCCTGAGTTTCTGTAAATGTGACAGACCATGAACAACAGCTGCTGGGAGTTGGTTGCATTTTCCTTATTTTAGATTCATGCTGATCTGGCAAAGCAGAGTCTAATATTCACCTGAGTATTCAATGCCTGCATCAGTGATGACATTCTCCCTTGTTGTACACTCCTGCAAGCAAAAACATCCATCTTTTGAGATTAATCCTCACATTTTGTAAGGAAATGAGAAAATGTCTGCTAATTATTAAAAAGACCCCACCTGCTGAACTGAGGTCTCAGACATCACTCCATCCTCAAACATGTTCAAAGACCATTTTGTACTCACACATACTACCTCCTCCTCATCAAACTGTTCACGCACATGAAAGACATTGATCACTGCTTTACATAATTGATCTTATATTTTCTTCTAGACAGATCAGTAGATGTCTAGCTTCTTTATCTCACCGTCTCAAGTCTCTTTTGCTCAGTGGTGACATTCATTCTGAGGCTATGAAAAGGTGTGACCACCTCTCCCATGGTCAGATTTACTGGTTCCCTCTCGAACAACAGCGTCTCGTTGTCATCGTCCTTGAAGCCAGGTGGCTGATACTCCTGAGGGGTCACTGAAACACAAATACACACTGACTCTAAATACCAAAGGTCATCAAACATTTTGCAATGAAAAGTTGAAAACCAAATTATATTGAGGATTGTTGTACATAAGTAAATACTGCATCATATCCAACTGTATCATATTCATTTTATTTAATCAAATGAACTTATATTCTCTATATTGGAATGTAAAAATGAAAAATGTTAAAAACAAATTAGAAACAAAAATATGTTTCAAGGGAATTTTTTTCCTATTTTTTCCTCCTCTTGTGATATGATATGGCAGGTCAAATTAAAGGTCATCATGCACCAAAATTTGAGCCACAGGCCCTTGTTTGTGCATCTCTGATCTGTATGTTTTGTGAAGATCTGCAAAGTATCAAATGCTTTTAAATAACTTGAATAAATATTAAGTTAACCACACTAACTTATCACATACTAAAAACAAAAACAATAAATGAAATGGTCTGTGTCACATAGCAAGCGTAAATGTACCCTCATCATAGTAGAAGAGTTTCATGTTGAGGCAGATGTTGTCAGGCAGCGGGCCGAGATGTTGCATCAGCACGTAAAGTTTGCGCACCAGCAGCATACTGGATTTCTGGGTGTTGTCACAGGCCATTTTACTCTCAATCTGCCCATTTTTGCTGGAAACACAGACAATAATTTTCAAAAGTGCAACATTCATAAAGTCAATGCGCAAACACACGGTAGTAAATAATAATGCTGTAAAAATGTTATTAGGACATTCCATACAAATACAAGGTATGTATTTTGGGCTAATTTTGATAACTGCTCAGACAGATAGGCCACCTCTCAAAGTCCATCTGAGGTCCGTTCTCTGTGTACTTGATTTTAAACTGGTAGCATTCGGTCACTTTCTACAACAAAAGCAAAAACGGAAAAGTAAAAATGAAAATTCAAAGTCTTAAATAAACAAGGTCATCATGCACTGATTTCATTATTATTGTATTATATTCAAACGGTAATTAACATTCAGGTATGGTGTCAGGTTACCTGTGGGTTGTCTGGATCACAGTAAATCTACAAGTAAAGAAGTACCATTTTCATTTAAAAAAATATTATAAGATACAGCATATAAACTATTGTAGTTCTGCATGCAAAGTGTAGTTTTAAATTGATTATTGTTTGTTTTCAAATCCATTAGTTAATACTCACTGATAGAAGAACCATGCGCAGCTGATAAAGTAAAGCAGATGCAAAAGGTCAAAAGGTTCAAAGGTTACTGAGAGTGATGACCAGTATATATCTGGTTACTAAACTGGTTATTAGCCATAAAAAAAAAATTACAAAAATACAGAAGACAGCAAAAGCACAGACTTACGTATCTTTTCTGAAGTGCATCAAAACATCCCTGCAACCTGAAATAGTAGAGGTAAGATACTCTCCAAGCAGCATATTATACTTCCAAATGATGTATCTGTACTTTATTAAGGGAATACTACCACTGCACAATCTGCTGAGCACCAGGACAGCTATGCTCTCGCAGTATTAGGACTTTCAGCTCTGTGAAAAGAAAGAAAGAAAAAAAAAATGAAGTTGATCAGGATTTCTGTTACCTGTACCACTCTGATGTATCATTTTTACCTCCAAGATATTTGTGTCCATAGGCCTTTTCTGGGAAAAGACCTCTGAGGTAAGTGATGCTTGAGACCGCAATGGCTAAAAGTTTCTTTACAAGCACCAGTGACTGTTGTTCGGTGGACACCACATCAGGCAGCATCTGACAGCGCTGAAAAACACATAAAAAACACATTCAGTAAGAAACATACTGTTAAATGTACAGCTAATGGACAGGCTGGCAAAAGCTAAAGGTAAATTAACGTCACACGTGGTATTGTGCTAACGTTAGATGTGAAAAAACAAATCTTTACCTGAACAGGGCGCAATTTCTGTTCACAAGCCATGATGACTGTAACAAACCCCTAAAATTAGCATCAGCAAATATAATGAGCGATTTTCAGTTAACGTTACTGCCTCTGGTATTTGAACAAATGCGGCAGATTTTCAGTCACTCAAAAGCACATAAATATGTAAAGAATATAATTCCCTCACCAGATAAAGTTGACAGTAAAAATCTTCAGTGATTCTGACAGACGGTTAAATTGTAAAATAATGGCAAATATACTAATAAGCGATAATTACGTTGGTCCGTCTCAACCGACTTTTAACCGTCACTCTCGCGCTCGCGCGCTATCCACCGATCGAGTACGCGAGTCTCGCCATCAACTCCTACGTGACGTCATGCCGAAAAGAAGGAGAGGGGTATAACGGCAGCCTGGAGATGGGGGCGGGAACTCCAAAACGGGGTGTGAGCTCCAAAATAGGGCGTGGCTTCCTCCCATTGGCAGACAGGCACATGAGACGCATGCGCACTTTTTCCTCCAATCCACTTCAGTGCAAACTCCGCCTCACAGCTGATTCTAAAGATTTTATTGGTTGTGTCAATTAAAGTGTTGATTTCCTACTCTATGCTACAAACAATGCTAACCCCTAAACCTACCCTACACCTGACCCTAACCTTAACCAGCGAAATTGACTGCACTGCGGGATTGGCGCTGAATAGCGGGGTAAAGAAAGATGCAGTTCAAGACCCTTAAACCTACCCCACACCTGACCCTAACCTTACCCAGCGAAATTGACTGCACGGAGGGATTGGCGCTGTGTGGTAAAGAAAGTTGCAGTTCAGGAGATAAACGGTTAATAAGATTATGCGATATGAGATCGTTCCGTAACTCCCCAACCGGACCTCACCGGATAATGGCACCTTTTTAGTTACACCCAGCGTCACTACCCCCTCCTACCCTGCGAATTTCGAGCCCCGGGACGCCCCCGCTGCTTAGAACAAAGCGATAGAGTAAAATCTTTCCCCTGCGCTGACGGCTCGCCGGAGAGCTCGTGGGTGATTCCTGTTTATATCATTAAGGTTCAAACTCCAGTCCGAACACCACTGGCCACGAGCTTTGGGCAATGCCCTCACAGAGAATATTTACTTATATAGCATATTTTATTTTAGATGAACTAGAAACCATGTTTTAATTTATAACGTTTTATTTTGAAATGTAAGTCAGTAACAATTGGCTGGAGCCAGAGCCAATGGTGAAAGTCTTTGCGCGAGGAGACCCCGCCCCATTTTGGAGGTTCTGCCCACTTTTGGAGTTCACGCCCCATTTTGGAGATCTCCGGTCTGCAGTTATATCTACTTGGAGAAAACAATCAATTTAAAAAGTGAAAAGATCAGTGCCTCCCCAGTCCCGTACATGGAGACGGAGTAATCATGTTCATATAAACTTTAAAACTCACAACTACAACATACACACTCGCATATACACACAACACATGAAACGACTTAAAATGTAAAACACTTCCGCGTTTCCAGGACCCACCCCGGGGTCTAGGGAAAGGAACCAGCCGTGCCGGATCGATATCTTCAAAGAAAGCACGCACTCTTTTTCGCTTTATTCCCGTCCCCGAAGTTACGGCACTGGTATTAGTCCTTTGCACACAGCCCACTTCTCCTTGGGAATCGCAATGTAATACTGATGAGTCCTCTTTTCAGGAGATAAGCAGTTAATAAGATTATGCGATATGAGATCGTTCCGTAACTCCCCAACCGGACCCCACCGGACAATGGCACATTTTTAGTTACACCCAGCGTCACTACCCCCTCCTACCCTGCAAATTTCGAGCCCCGGGACGCCCCCGCTGCTTAGAACAAAGCGATAGAGTAAAATCTTTCCCCTGCGCTGACGGCTCGCCGGAGAGCTCGTGGGTGATTCCTGTTTATATCATTAAGGTTCAAACTCCAGTCCGAACACCACTGGCCTGGCCATTTGGGCAATGCCCTCACAGAGAATATTTACTTATATAG